GACAGCGCAAGAAAAGGGTCAGGGAGGGCGGGGCTGCAAAGCACGCGGCGCCACACCACGCCTCACGCCTGCACCAGGACGCGTAGAAGGAATCCAGGGAGTCCGTGGCCGGGATGATGGCTGCCAGGAAAAGCGCCCTTTACGAATGCACAGCCCCCTCCAAAGGGCACCTTTCCCCGAACAGCCCCCCGCGGGATGCGGGCAGGCGAAGCCTGCGGTCGTATCCAGCGCACCGCCGCACACCGGCCCGAATGGGCATCGCAACCAGGAAGCTCCAGGCGACCGGCCAGCGGTGGGCCCCCGCCTCGCACGGCATTCCGAGCCGAACCCGGCAACAATGGCGACGACAGGGCGGGCGCCGAGGGTAGAGGCGGCGGACCACGCGAAGCGTCGACGGGGGGTCCCCGTCCAGCCACCCGTCCGGGCCAGCGGCGGGCGTGCTGCCAGGAGGGGAGAGGCGCCTTTTTTCCTCGGACTCAGTGGCACTGCGGTGCCTCTAAGGGAGCGCGTTTGCGCCGCAGGCCAGTGCCGAATGCAGCCTGTGGGCTGCATTGCGCTGCCAGTGGGCAGCGATGCTGCCAGTGGGCAGCACGGCGCCCCCATCGAGGCCCTGTGTCTCTCACATCCGCCGCTGCCAGACGCGACGCGCCATGGGCGAACCTGACCGGGCCCCCTCGGGGGGCGGGTCGGCTGCCAGTGGCCCCGGCGCGGCTGCGGCCACTGGGGCCTCCAGGTCGCCAGATGTCGCTGCTTCGAGCAAAATCCTCTTCCGTTCTCCATCCGTGAAACGGGAGTAAAACGAACGCATGACTTCCGCTGAAGCCCACCCGCCTTGGGCCTGGATGACCTCGTCGGTTAAGCCTTTTGACACCCGCCACCAGTGCGCGCCTCCCTTCCGAAAGGAATGGGTGCCCACGTCGCGATCTCTCACAACCCGAGCAAGGCTTCGCCGGACCGTCTCGTATGACACCGGGCGAAGGTCCGCGCCGCCGGTGGCGCAGAACAGTGGACCTTCGGGCTCCATGCCGTAGGAGGTAGCGTTGCGCTGCGTGAGCCACCGCCGCACAAGTAAGAGCGGACACAAAGCTCCCATCGACGGAAGCGCTGGCAACCAGCACAACATCCCTTGGCCGAGCGGGTCGCTCTTCTACCTGCGGACACGCAGCTGCATGCAACCATCCGCGTCGACCAAGTCACGGAGCTCGAACGCCAGCACCTCTGCCGAACGACGGATACAGAAAAAAACCACGCCAGCTAGGGCGGCATCCCGCAGGCCCGCGGGGGTTCCAGTGTCCAGCCGGGTCCGCTCGTAGAACGTCAGCTCCTGCACGCTCAAGGGGCGTTTGGCCCTGCTGCCCGTATTTTCAGCCAACTTCTTTAAGCCGAGCCAAAAGTGCAGGGCCCGCGGCGTCCACGAGGCCTCGAACAAATGCACGCAATCGCGTTCGACATGCCATGCGCGCACCGCCGCCTTCGCGGTGGTGATTGTCGCCCATGGGCGCCCCACCAGACCCGTGAACAGCGTCATGACCTTCACGTCCGTGTCTGCAGGGAGAAGCTGCAAAGCCGTGTCCGCCTCCACGGCGCTCACAGCGCCTCGCAGGATCGCGTCGTAGCGGTCGCGAGTCGACTGTTCCCAGGCTGCGGAAAAAATTACCCTGTGACGTACCCAACCCATTTGTATCATGGGAAACGAGGAGTTGACCGAAACTTGCATGGACAATCAAATTGCAGGATCCGTTGTTTGATATGTAAGCTACTTGGGACACGCGCCTATGGCATGATGCGCAGGAGAACCATACAAGAAAGAAGGGCAACAGCTACAGGCTCGAAGAGGACATGGGGAGACGGGAGCGAAGAGCAGGAGAAAGACGTGCGGGAAGCCCACTGTGCTGGGCCCCTCAGCAGCCCTCGAAAGTGGCGACAGTTTCACAGATCGCAGCCCCCCAGGGATGGCGAGGTCCCATTTGAGTCTGCGGTGAGTACCCACTGTGCTGGGCCCCTCAGCAGCTCTCGAAAGCGGCGACAGTTTCACAGATCGCAGCCCCCAGGGATGGCGAGGTCCCATTTGAGTCTGCGGTGAGTACCCACTGTGTTGGGCCCCTCAGCAGCCCTCGAAAGTGGCGACAGTTTCACAGATCGCAGCCCCCCAGGGATGGCGAGGTCACATTTGAATCTGCGGTGAGTACCCACTGTGCTGGGCCCCTCAGCAGCCCTCGAAAGTGGCGACAGCTTCACAGATCGCAGCCCCCAGCAGCCTTTGAATCCGCCGTGAGTACCCACTGTGCTGGCCCCCCCAGCAAGCCTCGAAAGTGGCTGCAGTTTCACAGATCGCAGCCCCCCAGGGATGGTGAGGTCTAATTTGAATCAACCGTGAGTACCCACTGTGCTGGGCCCCCCAGCAGCCCTCGAAAGTGGCGACAGTTTCACAGATCGCAGCTCCCCAGGGATGGCGAGGTCCCATTTGAATCCGCCATGGGTACCCACTGTGCTGGGCCCCCCAGCAGCCCTCGAAAGTGGCGACAGTTTCGCAGATCGCAGCCCCCCAGGGATGGCGAGGTCTAATGTGAATCCCCGTAGGGCGTCACTCCGCTGGGCCCCCCAGTAGCCTCGAAAGTGGCGACAGTTTCACAGATCGCAGCCCCCCAGGGATGGCGAGGTCTAATCTGAATCCCCGTAGGGCGTCACTCCGCTGGCCACCCCAGCAGGCCTCGAAGAAAGTGGCGACAGGGATGGCGAGGTCCCATTTGAATCCGCCGTGGGTACCCACTGTGCTGGGCCCCCCAGCAGCCCTCGAACGTGGCGACAGTTTCACAAATCGCAGCCCCCCAGGGATGGCGAGGTCTCATTTGAATCCGCCGTGAGTAAGTACCCACTGTGCTGGGCCCCCCAAGAAGCCCTCGAGAGTGGCGACAGTTTCACAGATCGCAGCCCCCCAGGGATGGCGAGGTATATTTGAATCCGCCGTGAGTGCCCACTGTGCTGGCCCCCCAGCAGCCCTCGAAAGTGGCGACAGTTTCACAGATCGCAGCCCCCCAGGGATGGCGAGGTCCCATTTGAATCCGCCGTGGGTGCCCACTGTGCTGGGCCCCCCAGCAGGCCTCGAAAGTGGCGACAGTTTCACAGATCGCAGCCCCCCAGGGATGGCAAGGTTCCATTTGAATCCGCCGTGGGTGCCCACTGTGCTGGGCCCCCCAGAAGCCCTCGAAAGTGGCGACAGTTTCACATATCGTAGCCCCCAGCGCCTGCGAGGTCTAATATGAATCCCCGTAGGGCGTCACTCCGCTGGCCCCTCAGCAGCCTTCGAAAGTGGCGACAGTTTCACGGATCACAGCCCCCCAGGGATGGCGAGGTCTAATCTGAGTCCCCGTAGGGCGTCACTCCGCTGGGCCCCCCACGCAGCCTTCGAAAGTGGCGACAGTTTCACAGATCGCAGCCCCCCAGGGATGGCGAGGTCTAATCTGAATCCCCGTAGGGCGTCACTCCGCTGGGCCCCCCAGCAGCCCTCGAAAGTGGCGACAGTTTCACAGATCGCAGCCCCCCAGGAATGGCGAGGTCTAATCTGAATCCCCGTAGGGCGTCACTCCGCTGGGCCCCCCAGCAGCCCTCGAAAGTGGCGACAGTTTCACAGATCGCAGCCCCCCAGGGATGGCGAGGTCTAATTTGAATCCCCGTGGCGTCACTGTGCTGGGCCCCCCAGCAGCCTCGAAAGTGGCGACAGTTTCACAGATCGCAGCCCCCCAGGGATGGCGAGGTCTAATCTGAATCCCCGTAGGGCGTCACTCCGCTGGGCCCCCCAGCAGCCCTCGAAAGTGGCGACAGTTTCACAGATCGCAGCCCCCCAGGGATGGCGAGGTCTAATCTGAATCCCCGTAGGGCGTCACTCCGCTGGCCCCCCAGCAGCCCTCGAAAGTGGCGACAGTTTCACAGATCGCAGCCCCCCAGGGATGGCGAGGTCTAATCTGAATCCCCGTAGGGCGTCACTCCGCTGGGCCCCCCAGCAGCCTCGAAAGTGGCGACAGTTTCACAGATCGCAGCCCCCCAGGGATGGCGAGGTCTAATCTGAATCCCCGTAGGGCGTCACTCCGCTGGGCCCCCCAGCAGCCTCGAAAGTGGCGACAGTTTCACAGATCGCAGCCCCCCAGGGATGGCGAGGTCTAATCTGAATCCCCGTAGGGCGTCACTCCGCTGGCCACCCCAGCAGCCCTCGAAAGTGGCGACAGTTCCGCAGATCGCAGCCCCCCAGAGAAGAGAGGAGGAGGCGGGAGGGGGCGGGAGGCGGGAAGGAAGGAAGGAAGGAAGGAAGGAAGGAAGGTGGGGGCGGGAGGCGGGAAGGAAGGAAGGAATGAAGGAAGGAAGGAAGGAAGGTGGAGACCGCAGTGCTCTATTCAAAACAAGTACCCAACGCAGGAGGGTTGGGAACAAAAAGCTGTCGGATAGCAGCGGCAGCTTTCGCCCTGGCGTCGAGCTCTAGCGGCCGGCCTGCCGCGGTGGCGAGCAGAGCCAACGAGGCGGCCGGCCCCCTGAGCCTCCTGCTCCCAGGCGCGTCCTGCGACGCCATCGCGCCCGACGCTGCTGGCCGAGGCTCAGGAGCTGGGCCGGAATCGCCGCGCAGCAGCGGCGGCTGCCCTCCGTGTGCGAGCGCTGGGGCGCGAATGCCGCTGTGTGCTGGCAAAGCGTGGCCTTCGGGGTCCTGCGCCTTGGCCCGGGTCTCTGGCGGCGTCAGCAAGCCGCCATTGCCCGCCGCCCTGCGCCGGTCCTGCGGTCTGGGAGAAAAATCATTCTCCTGATCCAATGCATGGGGCCGAAAAGGCTACGGAGAGGGGCAAGAGGAGGAGCATGGGGGGGCGGCGGCGGCGCCGGGGGTAGGAAGCGGCGGCAGCAGGCCCGGCCGTTCGCTTGCCCCTGCTGCTACTCCCTCTCCGCCAGAGATCCAACGTGATCCTAGACGTTGCTCGCATTTGTGGTTCGCTTGCCCCTGCTGCTACCCATCTCCGCCAGGGAATCTGCACGATCCCAAACTGCTCGTACCGTGGGAGATTTTCCAGAGACTCTGAGCGAAGCCTGCTTGGCACGTTGAGAGTGCGCGACCCCGCCGTTGGGGGGCCACGGAAGCACGCGCGTGAACATCCGACCACGCGCCCTCGGCGCGCAAGCCGCCGCCTCCCAGGGCCCCAGGCAGAATCCCGGCCCACAGAGGCAGATGAATGAGTGATTGTTTTGGGCGTGGCGCTCGCGCGCGCTGCGGGTGATATGGATGGGGGTTCGGTTAGCAGAAAAATGTATTTAACATATGGGAGACGAAGGCAGTGCTGCGATCCCGAGGCACACGTGCGCAGATTACATGCATCTCGGCGGGCGGCCGGCCGGGCTGCTGAGCTGGCGGCCTAGCGCGGCCAATCAGATACCCAGTGGAGGATGCTATCCTTGCGCCCGGCCTTCGTGCACTTCGTGCGTGGGATGAAGCTCGGATTGCCGGCGTCGCGGCACTCCTTCAGCGAGTGCCTCACTGCTCCCTTTTTGCTCAGGAGGCAATTCCGGCAGATCACGCGCGTGACCTCCGTCATCGCCTGCCGGTGCACGTCGTCGAGCTTGAACTTCCCGTCCATCCAGGCCTGGGTGCGAGCCGGGGAAGCGTGCGAGGCCAGCTTCCCAGCTGCTTCTTGGTGGTCCGGGTGGAATCCCCTCCGCCCAGAGAGGCCTGCGCCGGCTGGCCGGTCTGGAGCGGCTGCTGCCCCGGCTCGACCGCCCGGGCGGCTTTGGGCGAAGGGCCGCCCGACCCCGAGCCCCTGTCCGCGGCCGCGGGGCGCTTCTGCGGGACGCCGCGCGCCGCGAGAGCTGCCTCGCCCAGCAGGACGTCGACCCCGAAGTCCTTGACCATGATCTCCGTGTCCAGCGGCGAGTTGGCGGACGCCTTGGTGGTCCTCGTCTTGTGCGACTTGATGACGAAGCAGACAAGGTCCATCAACTCCGCCCGCTGCTCAGCGGCTTTTGCTGGCCCGTCCTTCTTTGCAGCCTGTGCGACCGTGTGCCGCTTTTCCAAAAGTGAATACACATGGAGAAAGGAACGGGCCAACGCTTTGACCGCGCTGTCCTGCGAGTCAGCCCTCTCCTGTAGAAACACCGGTAGGCGGTCGGATCCCCCCCCGAAGCTGGGCAAGCAGATAGGCTTCCACTTCAATCTGGCTGCGTACTTCAACGTGGCCGCGCTCTTCAAAACGAGAAGTTCTGGGTTCTGCGGGTGCGCCGCCTGCAAAGCGAGGACGTTTGCCATGGCCGGGTCTTTTGCGACCGCGTCCGCCGCCTGGGTTGCCGCGCCCGCCTCCACGACGAGGTTCCTCCAGGCCGCCGACCACTGATCCGTGGTGAGGGAGCGGAGCTTGGCCCTGTACGGGTACTCCGCGTCCGCCCTCTGGTCGAATTCCTTCGAGATGGCGGCCGTGATCTCTCCTGCCGGCAAGAGGGCCTGCGAGACCGCCCTGGTGGAAGCGCTCGCGGCAGACACGTCGACGGCCTGGGCTCCCGCCTGCCCCGCGGCGAAGGAGTCGACGATCGCCTGGTAGACTTTGCCTCCCGGCTTGCTGGCCTCCTCCATTGCAGTGGCAATCAAGTTCTTGACGGCCTCCTCGTCCATGGCCGTGGACTGTGGAAGTAGACTGCGAAACAATCGGAAAGCTTTGCGCGCCGAACAGACAAGGCACTCGAGCCGCTGGCTACGGAGAGGCACGCTGCGCAAGCAGGGATGGCGGCAACAACGATCCGGGTTGGATTACGATGATGTGTTTTATCGTTTGCGCTTCCGCCGGTTCGGCTGCCAGGACTGCAGCAGCAAGTATGGCAAGTCAGTGCGCGGCCCTCGGCTCCACGAGTCTCCGTGGAACCACCGAAACAAGTCAGACCTGGCCGGCCAAGACCTGACCCGGAACCGCCGCCGCAGCAGTGCGGGGCGGAACCAGGGCGCCCGGCTGTCTTCTGGGCAAAGTAGCACGATGCGTGTACCAGGGTTTTGTACGAGGTGGGCATTCAAAAACTCCAAGACGGATCGAAACAACGCTCGCGGCGGATGCGCCCAAACCGTGTGGCCGGTCAGGTTTGCCTCAAATTCTGTCCTTTCGGGTGAACGCCAAGAAAGTGCAATGGCATTCCGGCCGCCCCGGTCTGCGAACAGGTCCAGTGTGAACGAGCAGGCACACCGTGCAACGACGTCTGCCAGAACTGGCGTGCGAATCGATGCCTCAAGAAAGGCATCAGAATTCCAGCGCGAGGCGAACAGAGGATCCCTAGAGCCGAGGTCTGCTGTCCGATTGGCCGCGCCGCTCAAGTGGAGCGCAACGAACAACAACCAAACATAATCTGGGCCGCGGAAGCTCACTTCAACCGCGCACCCAAGAAAGGCGTAAGACCGCTTGGCCCCCTCATTATGATATGCATTTTGTCGTCTTCGAGCCCAGCTCCCCTCACTGCCCCCCTTCCATCTGTCTGGGGCGGGAGCCTGCTGCGGCTTCGGAGCCGCCGCCTGCTCCAGAAGGTCCTTCTTGCACTTCATCAGCTCGCTGCAGTCCTTCCGACGAGCACGAGGAAGGAGGAAACGGATGAGGTGAAAGAAGGGGAGGAGGAAGAGGAGGAGGAGGAGGAAGAGGAGGAGAACCCTGAGAATACCCTGAGAAACACCAATCTTGCTTTGTTACACTGACTCTGCCTCATCCGCTCTCGCAAACCCCCTCAGGCCTGCAGGCAGCAGCGGTGGCGGCAACACGATCCCGAGCCCGACAACCTTCTCCCCATGCGAGTGCAGTTCGCACCGCCTTGGGCATACCTTTGGGGTGGGGCCGCTTGCCACTTGCTAGTGCTCCACAGTGGCGGCAATCATGCCCTGATGTGACTGACTGGAGATAGCATGAGTGGTCCCTTCTGAAATCAAGCCTCGGCTAAAAATGAAGTGTCTGGGCGATGTGTAAGGAACGGACACGTCGGGTAAAGAGTCAGGGATCTTATGGCTGGTCCACGGCCATCGCTACTCATGGGACGTGCTCGCTGGACGTCCCCCAGTAAGCCCTTTAAGGCAACGCCAGCACCGCATCTGGACAGGACAAACGTTCTTGACGACAGGATACAGCACGTTAGAAGAATGGACTGTGACCAATCTAAGCCCCGCCTCCCCCTCTGCCCAGATGATCAGAATGGAGCGGCGCGCCACACATGGGGAACTCACCTACTGCATACAGTAGGAGGGCCCGCGAGCCACGCGAATCCCACCAGCACTCTGGGCGCAACTGGGTGGTTTAGCGAGTTCGTTCTTCCACACCGCCCTGCGAGACAGCTCCAGGCGCGCACGGAGCCTCTCAAGGACGCCCCCGAGAGGGACATATGCAGCAAACCAACTCTGGGTTTCATAATAAGCGTGGGCGGGTCCCCCCCCGACGGGGGTCAACCTCGCCTGGTCGTCGCGCCGCGACGGGGGTCGGAGCGCCTTCGGCGCGCGGTGGCTGCCCGCGACGGGGGTCGATGCGGGGCTGTCGGCGGGGGTGACGCCCCCCCCCCCCCCCGACGCTTATTAAGAAACTCGGAGAATGCATGTTGCCTTCTCTCCTTTGCAGATCCGATGGGCTTCTCCGAGGTCCCAAGATGGCTCTAAGACCGCCCAGTGGAGCCCCAATATGGGCACAGGAGGGTTCCAAGAGGGCCCCTGCAGCGTGCCACGAGGGCTCCAATCCATGATTTTTCGGTCTCGGACAGGGGGGTGGGGGTGCGCCGCCCCTTTTCGGTTTTAGGTGCCCTCTGGGGCCCCTAAGAGGGTCCCAGGAGGTCCCAAGAGGGCCTCAAGAGAGGCCCCGAAGCCCCAAGACGGTCCAAATCAACTTCCAAGAGGCTCCCATATCGAAATGTCCACGTATGTATGCATGGTTGACTGCTGGATCCTCTCAAGCGGATCCGCCCTTCGGTCCGACGGCTGCCCCTCCCCCCTCTTTGACCCATTGCGTGCTTCTACACTGTCCTTGTTGAAACACCTCGCCTGGGCACCGTTTGTATCGATTCTGGATGGGCTGGTGGGGACCCGCGAAGCGTCAAGAATTCAGTGTTCCAACCCAGCCTGGCGGTCCTCGACCTTGAGAATTAGAGTGCGGGCAGTCTCGGGCCCCTGCTCGAGGGCCCATCCCCTGCTGGCCGGGAAGCAGAAGAGGCAACACATGTTGGCGGCGCCCGAGAAAGGGGGTGGTACCAAACACTGAAATCCCTTACCTCATCCGTGCCATCCGCTGCGAGCATGGCCCACCATCTCTCGACCCCTCGCGCAGATCCAAGAGCAGCCGGTGCGGATAGCCAGATGTCCTCGGGGAACTCTGCGGCGACGATGCTGTACGCCACCTCCAGCGTCCTGCCATGAGCGCTCGGACTCAGAGAGCAACGGCGTTTAATGACACATACCTCCAGCACAGCCCGGCCACAGGCGCTCCAGAAGGCAATCATGCCAACAAGTTTGGCCCGTGGCCCGGGAGCCTACTCTGGCCAGGGGGTCGACATGCCCGACGACGCGAGCGAGATTCAGGCCTGGGGCTGAACACGCACTGGAAACAGATGCGTCATTCAGCGCCCAGAGCGATCCCGCGCCCTTACCTCCTGGACAGCTGGATTCGGACAGGACGTGACCAGACACCCGTTTCGACGATACACTCGACCAGGCTAGTAAGAATGCGCGGTAAGGATGCAAGGGCCTTGGAACGCCATGTTGACGTTTTCCGTGCGGAGCGCAGCAGAATGCCGAAGGATGCCGAATACCGAAGGGGCAAGGATGCAAGGGTAGCCTTGGAAAGTTGCCCCATCCTTACTATCATGGTTGACTGTATAGGGTGATTGGGAGCATAAAAGACTCGAAGGACTATGCCCCCAACTACCCCTGGCGACAACACCCTGTCTTCCCCGAACAGCGCTTGCACTGAGGGGTTCTCGCTTAGGGTCCAAGGAACTGGGCCTGCGGGTCGGTCCGGCGGCTATGTAGCCGCCGTCGCTGCCCCGTCGCCGCCTCGTCGTCGCCATCGTCGCCGCCTCGCCGCCGCCGGTCGTCCGAGCCTGGGTGACGGTCTGGCGGCTACGTTGTCGCCGTCGCCACCCCGTCGCTCTGCACCGCAGAGTTTCTCCTTTCTTAGAATTTTCGGATGTACCCCCGCCCCGGAGTTAACCGCTCCCCGCTTCGCAATGCAATTTACATATGATTCAGCCCCATCGTCTACTTTAATATGAACTCATCTGATGCCAGCCAGGCCAGTAGCGGTTCCCCTTTTCATCCCCTGGGAAAGAATTATGCGCGCACACTTGTTCATCAAAAGCCACTAATTCGCAAGAGTCCCTTGCACCAAACTGGGACGAATTGCACACGCGCGCGTCGTCGCGCGCGCATGCCAGAATCCTTCAAAAACCGTGGGTTTCGTCAGAATTTCAGAACCGAGCGTCCCGAAAGTATACAAGCACATCGTTTCGCAACGCAAATCGTCAAACAAAACATTGTGCTCGCGCTGTTGCGATTTCTCGAGAAAACCATCGGCTTTTCAACATCCTCATGACATGGTACCAAGCGGGCCTCTCGCGCGCGCAGGTCGAAATCGTTCGGACGCTCTTGCGCGCGTGCCGTGGCAGTACTCCCTCGCACCACATGTAACGAAGTGCACACGCGCGCGTCGTCGCGCGCATGCCTAGCTCTTTGAAAAACCTTCGGTCTCGCACGGATTTCAAAATCGGTTGTCTCGAAAACATAAAACATGCATGGTTTTGCAACATCGTCACGAACAGGAACGACGCTCGCGGTTTAGCGAATTCTCGCGGAAACCACACGTTTTCACAATTGTTGTTACACTCGGCCAAAACAAGCCTTTCGGCCCGCATGTCGAAATCGTTCGAGCGCCCTTGCGCGCGTGCTGGGGCGGCACGATCCGTGTCAAATAATGCCACGCGGGCCACTCTCGCGCGTCGGCCGCGCGCGCATGTCGAACGCCTTCTCAAACCTTCATTGTCGACGCGAAGACGCCGTCATCGTCGACGGCGTTATCAGCATCGGCGCCGTCACTGACCGTGCCGTCGCCGTTGTCATCACCGTCACCAGCGTCACTACTATCTTCATCGTGTCTACCGTCGTCGTCGTTGCCATGATACCGCGCCCGCCCAAGTCGCCGACTCGCACTGAATTGCCCGCTGGCAAGTGCCCCGAAGTCACCGCCGCCGCGGCCGCGTCGGTCGCGCCGCACTAGCTGGCCGCTGCGCGCGAGCATGCGCGGGCTAGCGCGGCTGGAGATACACCAGCCAACGCCGCGCACTCATCGCAATCGCCGCCGCGTGTGTTTTGAAAAGCAAGTTGTGGGCGGGTGGGTGGGTGCTTGCGCGAGCAGTGGAGCTGACCAGTGCGAATTCCACAAGTGGGCTGCTCCGAAGCCATTGCTCCGCAAATTTTGCACCGAGTCGATTGCACCACGTAGCTTGCTCCACATAGACTGCGGACACACTCATTGCACCACATCTCCCCCCCCCGGGGTCAACGGTTCACCCTTTCGTATTGCAAATTGCATATGATTCTGCCCCTTCGTCCATCCTAAATCTGAGTTCGTAGCGTTCCAGCCCAACCGGCATCGACCCCCCAAGTGTTCATCAATCTCTTGCAATAGAAAAAATGCACGCGCGCGCGTTGTCGCGCGCGCGTGCCGAAATCCCACAAAAAACTTAGGTTTCGTCAACAACATCTAAAAACGAATGGTTTCGCAACGCGGATTTTCAAAACAAATCTTGCGCGCGCGCGCCCTTGCGAATCCCCAAGACAACATTTTTTTCTCTCAACGTGTTCGTCACATGGTACCAGACGGGCTTCGCGCGCGCATGTCGAAATCGATCGAATGCCCTTGCGCGCGTGCTGTCGCGAGGATTTCAAAACAGGGTGTCCCGAAACAATCGAAAACATATGATTTCGCATTGGCAACATCAGTTAAACAACTTGCGCTCGCGCTCCTGCGAATTCTCAAGAAACCATGCGTTTTTTTTTTTTTTTTTGTTTGTTTGTTTGTTTGTTTGTCTGTTTGTTTTTTCTTCAACATATCCATGGAATGCTGCCGAACGGGCCTGTCGCGCCGCATGCCGAAATCATTCGAACGCCGTCGCGCGCGTGCTGGGAGAGGAAGGGGGGGGAGGAGGTCACGATCCGTGTCGAATAATACCATGCGGGCCACTCTCGCGCGTCGGCCGCGCGCGCATATCGAACTCTTTCCAAGACTTTCATCGCCGACGCGGGGGCGCCGTCATCGTCGTCGGCGTGATCAGCTTCTGCGCCGTCACTGGCCGCGCCGTCGCTGTTGTCATCACCGCCGCCAGCATCGTTGCGATCGTTATCATGTCTACCGTTGTCGACGTTGACGTGATGCAGCGCCAGCCCATGTCGCCGACTCGTACTGAAGTGCCCACTGGGCCGTCCCCGGCGGTCAGCGCCGCCGCGGCCGCGTCGGTCGCCCCAAACTAGCTGGCCGCCGCGCGCGTGCATGCGCGGGCTGGCGCGGCAGCGAATGCGCCGGCCAGCGCGAAGCATTCATCGCAATCGCCGCCGCATGGGTTCTGCAAGTCAAGTTGCGGGTGGGTGGGTGGGATGTTTGCAAGCGCGTGAAATGTGTCAACTCGTTTGTAAAAATCAATGGCAACCCATAGATTCCACGCTATAGCTTGCCAGCCATATATGCCCCTTTTGTGGAATAGCACAAAAGATCGACCTCCCCCAGAATTGGCGCGACACCCAGGGATCATGCAATTTACTGCGATTTTGTCTCCTCGTTCATGATGCGCATGAATTTAGTCCGTCTCAACTAAGCCCATCCTCGCCCCCCTTCACCCGTGCCAAATGATACTCTGCGCGCGCGTTCGTTGCATCGGCATGTCCAAAATTCCCCGGCAACAGACGGGGTAAAGTCAACGTGCCCGCGGCGTCGCGCGCGCGTGCTGGCATTATTGGAAACCTTAGGTCTAGGGGGGGTCTCAAAATGGAACTTCCCGAAACAAATAAAACCCATGGTGTTGCACAAGAACGTGTGCGCGCGCATTCTCGTGAATTCTTACGAAGCCCATCGGTTCGACGAATTCCCCATCGTCGTAATCAGCATCGGCGCCGTCATTGGTCTGGCCGTCGTCATCGTCATCGTCCTCGTTAACAACCATCACTTCTATCATCATTGTGTTCGTTGTTTTTGATGCCGCTGTGATGCCGCGCCCGCCTGGGTCACCGACTCGCAGTGAAGTGCCCGCGCGTCAGCGCGGCCCGCGAGACGCGCTGGGAAGTCCACGGTGGTCAGCGCCGCCGCCGCCGCGTCGGTCGCGCCAGGCCAGCTGGCCGATCCGCGCGCGAGCCTGCGCGCGCCGGCGCGGCCGCGGCGATGCGCCGGCCAGCGCCGAGCAGTCATTGCAATCGCCGCCGCGCGGGATTTGCAAACCAAGTCGCGGGTGGATGGGCGGGGCGATCGCGCGAGCAATGGATTGGGCAACTCACTAAAAAACATTCGTTAAGTGCTCCACGCAGATTGCAAGAAGACCTAACCCCCGCCGGGTTCATCGTGGCCCTCTGGGATGCGCCATTTACGTGAACTCCAACCATTCCAGCTCGACCCGTGATCGCCCCCCCCCGCTCTGTCATATGGATGCATGCGCGCGCGCTCGTTTAGCGACAATCAGCAGTTTTCAAGAATACCTCGGCGCAGAATGTGGCAAGGTCGATGCGCGTCCTATCGTGGCGCGCGAACGCTGGAACTCGGGAAAAAGCGCGAGGTTTCGCGCGGGTTTCAAGGTCGAGGTTCCCGAATAGACACGCGTAACAACCAATTATTCCACGTCGTGTTTTTTCAAACAAATCTGCGCGCGCACTTGCGACTCCCGAAGACAACCGCAATTTTTCCGCCATTTGCATCCCGGGCGATCGCGCGGGCGTCGCGCGCGCGCATGTATGTCCACATCATTCGGGCGGCCATGCGCGCTTGCTGGGGGGGGGGGCGCGATCCCCGTCGGAAAAAAAAAAACCTGCGAGCCACTCGCGCGCGTCAGCCGCGCGCGGGCGTTGAAATCCTTCCGCGACCTTCGTCGCCGACGTGTGGGCGCCATGATGGCCATCGGCGCGACCGGCGTCGGCGTCGTCGTGGGCTTTGCCGTCGCCGTCGTCGTCGTCGTCGTCGCCATCATCGCTGCTATCGCCGTCGTTTCCGCCGTTGTCGACGTCGCCATGATGCCGAGCCTGCCCGAATTACCACCTCGCGCTGAGGCGCCCGCGCGCCGGCGCGGCCTGCAAGACGCGCGGGGAAATCCCTGGCTGTCCGCGCCGCGCTGGCCGCGCTGGTCGCGGCGAACTAAGTGGCCGCTCTGCGCGCGAGCTTGCGCGCGCTAGCGCGGCCGCAGAGATGCACCAGCCAGCGCCGAGCAGTCATCGCAATCGCCGCCGCATGGGCTTCGCGATCCAAGTTGCGGGTGGGTAGGTGGGATGGTTGCGCGAGCAGTGCTGTTGACAACTCAGAGTGCCTCGAAATTACTTGCGCAACATGCACTGCTGCACGTCGATTGCTGCGCTACATGTATTGCACCACATACGTTGCACAATTAGGTTCCACGACGTAGGTTGCACCACGTATATTGCGCAACGCATATTGAACCACACATATTGCATTACGTATACGGCACAGCATGGATTGCTCCACGTAGTTTGCGCCACAAATGTGGCACCGCATCGGTTGTGCCATCAAGACTGTTCTATATCGATTGTACAACATGTAATGCTAGACGCACGTGCACACTGTTTGGGGTCCATGTTGTCTAAGGCGGAACCCAAATCCCAATGAACATGATTTCCTGGATTTGAAATGCGTCTTGTTCTGCAGCCCAAGGGTGAGTCCAACAACGCCATCTGGGCCGCAGAGAGATCAAGCGGGGGGGATTCGGAGCAAAAGGGGATCTGCCCATGTGAGGCGAAGCGCGACATGGAGTCTACGCAAAACCCTTCGAACTCTCTGGGTGAGAATTGTCAATGCCCTTTCAAGCTCCAGAACACAGATTTCTGGAATCATTGGGCTCCGCGGCGCTCTTTCCTTTGGAACTGTAGCCTTCATTGAGGCCCAAGGAGCGTGGCTGGGGATTTATACTTCCTGTGTGTCATGAAATGGCCCGACGGGACCGTCCTGGGCCTCTCTTGGGGGCTTCTTGGGTCGTCTTGATGGCCTAGGAGGTGGACATCAGACAAACTTTCAAGCTCGCCTTCGGGTCCTAATAGCGTTTATGACGGCCTAGAAAGCCTCCGAAAGAGAGAGAGAGAGAGAGAGAGAGAGAGAGAAGAGAGAGAGAGAGAGATAATGAGAGACAGAGAGACAGAGAGAGAGAGAGAGAGAGAGAACGAGAGAGAGAGAGAGAGAACGAGAGAGAGAGAGAGAGAGAGAGAGAGAGAAACAAAGAGAAAGAGAGAGAGAGAGAGAAAAAAACAAAAAAAGAGCTCCAAGAGGGGCCCCGAACCCCCCAAGAGGGGCCCACTAAGGGGGAACTCGATGGGGCTTTTGGGGCCCCGCGCGCCGAGATGGCCCCCGAGACCACCTCCAGGCTGACAAGGGCACCAGGAGGCCTCCGGATGGACCCCAAGGGGCCCCACATACTTTTTCCGTCGGCGGCGAGGCAGAGTTGCTGCACCAACGCTAGAGCTAAACGCTGGAGCTGGCCAGCGTGCAGGAGCGGGGACAGGACAAACAGGGCGGCCGCGTATGGGGGGGGGGGGCACAGGCCACTCAGAGGTGGAAAATGGGCCCAAAATGCAACCAGACCTAAATCAGACCCTCCGCCGGCCGCAACACAGAACAAAAAACTGGTACCCTTCCCAGGATGCGCAAACACAGGGTGTCCTCCCCAGACCGACCTCGATCTTATACTTCGGTCCGACTGTAAGCATCCAACAGGTGGGGGGGGTCCTGGGGAGTTGGTGAACCCCCCACCCCCCTGGGGGGAACACCCCTCCCTGGGAGAAGCCTTCGGCTCCAGAACGTCAGCGTCGTCGTCGTCGTTCAGGGTCGGCGGCACCAGCCGTAAGGCCTTCGTAATAATAGATATCCAACAGGCCTTCCAAGAGATTCCAAGAAGCCTCGAAGAAACCTCTTGTCCATGACCCAGGCTCGGGGGCTGTATTGGCTGAAGGCTACCAGATCAGCCGCCCTCTGTGCTTGCCACAAGGCAGCTTGGCGTTCGAGACTTCAAAACACTTTTCGGCCCTTCCAAACAACATTTCCGACATGCCTTTCGGCTCATCCCGCCGCTCTCGCACAAAACACGTCTTCGCTGGAAACGCCGTCGCCAAGCCAACCAATATGGCCTAACATGGCCTCGAAGACGGCCGCATATGGCTGCCAATATGCTGCCAAGGCGAACGCGATGGCCCCAAGATGGCCCAACAGGCACTGGCCGAAGCAACCATCATATGCTTTTCCACGTGTTTCTGGGTTCTCGACTTTTCGGTCTTCAGAGCGCCCAGCACTGCTCCGGAGGAACCCCAAGACCAGCCAACGGCGACAGGCCGCAATGTGACCCCAAGACGGCAAGAGGACCCCAAGACGGTCCAAGAGAGCTCCACGACGGGCCTACATCTCGACTGGCCCCAAGAGGCCCCCAGGACGGCCAGGGAGACCCCCACCGAGGCCTCCGAAGGCGCCGGACGGCCCAAGAGCTCCCTGCAACGGCCCCGATGTTGCCCAAGAGCACTCCCAGATGAAGAGAAGAGCCGCCCTCGGCAGCCCCAAGAAGGCCCCAGACGGCTCCTCCCGGTGTTCCCCCAGAGGCTTCCCGAAGAGCTGAGGGAATACGCAGTCCACCAGCGTGGCCGCACTTCTTGCTCGCCATCTCACGACACAGGCGCTTCCAGCAGGGGGCGGCGGTGACTCGCCGCAGGCGTCTTGGATGATAAGCTGCCGACTTCTCCCCGAACTGCGATCCCCAAAGACGACCCCCTGCTCCGAAATATGACTAGGATTCACATGCCGTGCAACAAGATCACAAACATGATATCCGAAGGATGCGGAAGATGCAGAGCCCGCGCCATGCCAACTCTTCCTTAGACTTGCGCCCCAGATCCGCTTTTGAACGCCCCAGGCCCCGAAAACGGACCCTGGAGGAGGCCAAAACCAAGTCGCCAAAGACCCAAAGATCCCATGTCTTGTTTTTTCAATACGGGGTCCCCGAAGTCCGGACACCTTCCCCGGGACCGCCTTTTCATCCCGAGTAGTTTCTCGACGGTCCTGGGGCCCGGGGAAGGCCCCCAGATCCCGAAAGCGACGAAACACCTCCGCCTTCGACTTTTTCAGTGCGCTGGAGGTCTGGGGATCCTGGCCCGTCCTCACCCCTGAGGCCTCCCGCGTGGGGTCCGAGCAGATGGGGTCCCAGGATCGCACAGCGCCGCCGATGCATCGGCGGTGCCTCGGCGACGTCGGCGATGCATCGGAAACGCAGGCGCGGAGGAGATCGGGCTCCGCATCCAGCCGCATCGCCGACGCACTGCCGATGAGGCGCGACCCTCCGACCCCACCTGCTCGGCCGCCAGCTGGGAGGCCTGCCCTCCCCGGACGTCCGGCGCCTCGCCTTGTTCGAGGCACGGGCCACCGATGTCTCGATCACTGCCCCAGGGCCAAGTCTTTCCATCCCGAACCATTCTTCGACGGTCCCGGGGCCCCCGTGGGGGCCCCGAGAGGCCGAGCACTGTGAAAAACCTCCGCCTCGACTTCTTCGAGACGCTGGATGTCTAGGATCTGGGAAAGCCCGCCCTCACCGATCCTCCGATTGTTCTTCACGATCCAGTCCACCCGCTCCCGGCACGTGTGGCAGCCGTCGCTGTCTTCGCCTCCGCCCGCGCCGCCCTGCGCCCCCGGACGACCGGCCCGCGGCCCCTCCGCCCCCCGGGGTCTGCAGCACACTGCGCCCGCGGGGGCACAGGGCCGAGGGAGCTCAGACAGCGGGCGTCTCGAAAGTAGTCGAGACGGACATGTTTCATCATTTTTCGGCCTCTCGGGGCGGGCCTCGGGGCTGTCAAACCACAAGTCGGGATGAAAGCCTGGTCTCGGGGAAAGGGTCGAGAGGTCGGGGGCCCGTGCCTCGAAAGCATCGATTCGCCGGATGTCTGGGTAAATCTGGGCGACGCAAAAAACACCGTGACGGCGCCGGGGAGGGTCGAAAGACGACACAGGAGGAAAGGCTGGTCCCAGAGAAGGATTCGGAGGGTCGGGGGCCGGTGTCTCGAACAAACCGAGACGCTGGATGTCTGGGTCTAGGTCCGACGTCGCAACTGTTTCTTGACGTTGGCCCCCGGGGATTTCGACCCTTCCCCTGGGCTGGCCCTATATCTAGAGGCACGAAAACAAACGGCACAACATAAACTTTCTGCGCTCCTCGCGGATTTCTGGGATCGGCGCTGGACCCCCCTCCTGGCGCGCGGAGCGCGCCAGGTGCGGAGCAGGAGGCGCCGCCAGGGGAGCCCAGCGCCGAGCCAAGAAATCCGCACGGAGCGCCGAAAATTTATGTGTATAGCGTTTTTTGTTCTTCAATGCCTCCCGTCGAGGAAGAGCTTTGATGGTCCTGGGGCCAAAAGACTGCCTCCAGACGCCGAGCCGGCCGTCTCGATTTTTCCCCAGTTTGGCTTTATCCAAAGCTGTTAACTGTTTTTCCAGAACTGATGGGTGCGGCCCCCAGTTGGCGCCGTCCCTCCCTGGGGTTCATGTGCTTCGTTTCCTTGCACGGGCCTTCCCCAAGGTTCCCTGGTCTTGTTTGCTCATAAAGCGTTGCCCAGGCTCGCTGGCCTTGGTTCCCTAGTCCCTTGGTCTTGGTGCTGTGGTTCCTTAGCTCCTTAGTCTTGGTTCCTTGGTTCCTTGGTCTTGGTTCCTTGGCCTTAGTTCCTTAGTTCCTTAGTTCCTTGGTCTTGATTCGTTAAAAATGGCTCCTGGGCTCCTGGGTCTTGGCTCCTTGGTTCCTGGTCCGTGATCTCCTTAGTCTTGTCTCCTGGCTCTTGGTTTTGCTTGTGGCCTCGCCACGTAGCGCTAAGAAATGCCAAGCAGTGCCAAGCAGTGCCAAGCAGTGGCAAGCAGTGTCAAGCAACGCCAAGCAATGCCAAGCACTGCCGAGCAAAACCAATACCTGCCAAGCAACGCCAAGAAGTGCCACACAACGCCAGGCAATGTAAACCAATGCGCAACAATGTCAAACGATGCCCTCCTTGCTGAGATACTTGCTTGTGAAACTTTCCCCTACTTGGGGCCGCGTTGGATTCGTGCTGCAACGCCTAGATAAGAAGGGAAACCAACGGGTCCCAGGCACAGGAGGCTTTCCCCGGGGCCAGGCCGCCCCCGTGGCGCGCGGGCCCCCCGCTGCGCTCCCACTGGGAGAAGCCGGGGCCCTCCAGACGTCGACGACGACGACGACGACGACGACGACGACGACGACGACGACGACGACGACGACGACGACGACGACGACGACGACGACGACTACGGCGACGGCGACGGCGACGGCGACGGCGACGGCGACGGCGGCCCTCATCCTGGGCCGTTCTCTGAGGGCGCCCCCAGGCCCGGGAGGGCTCCTCTACTGAGCCCAGGAGCGGCGGAGGGCCTCCATGGTCCCGCCGCCTCCCCAAGACCCGCATCCGTCGTGCTGAGAAGTCCCGCGCGAGGGCGGGATCTTGGTACATTGTGAAGAACTTCGGGGATGGACAGAACCGCCTTTAGTAAAACGTGGTTGAGTGAGAACGACCTCGGGCCCAAACCTGGCGGGCGCAAGCCTGGTAATCGACGGCCGCGGCTCCCTCTCGAGAACCGAAAAGGGACAATTCACTAATCGACATGTCAGGATGGGTGTCCTGTCCACCCCTGAGAACTATCAGGCCGGAGCCGATGAATTCTGATCAAGCAACTATTGTTGACCTTCCCCCTCCTCTGGTGCACTTTGCGTCTTTAAAATGAAGTGCTCCTCCTGGGGCTCGCACTTCATTTTCTATCAAGGAAAATCTTCCTCCTCAAACTGCGCCCCTGGCCCCTGACTTACAACAACAAGTGCTCCAGCCTCAGACTTCCTCACAATTCATTTCACAATCGCGCTCTCGCGTGGGACTTCATCACGAATGATGCAGGAATCGCGCTCTCGCGTGGTGCTTCCTCACCATGTATTGCGGTGCCGTGCTCCCCAGACTCAGGAATATCAAGAATCACGCTCTCGCTTTGGATTTCCTTACGATTTACTTGGGAATCGCGCCATCGCTCGGAAAATTCATGCTTGTGATTCATGTTGGCCTGACGCTTCAACGATCCGCCCGCTCAACCCAACCGTCTGGGCTCGCCCGCCCGACCTGCCCATTAGGGTCTGCCCGCCCGACCCGCCCGTCTGGTTCTGCCGCTTGCACTGCTGCTCCTAAACCCTCCTCCTGCCAATCTCTCTCGTGCTCCATCCTTCTCCCTCCCCCTTGTCCCTTCACTGTGTCAGGGGCCGTGCCAACTACACGTGGCACGTATGGAAGATATACCCCCACGGGAGGTACGTCCGCAAACGAAGAGGGCGGGTATCGAGGGTTTGACATATACGTGGTGAATGGCACGCGAGCAGATAAGAGCGATCAATCCTAAACTGATTGTTGTTGTTCTTGATGTTGCTGCAGTTCGAGGGCCAACATCGCATTCTGAGCATCAAGAAGTTCCTAAGGAAACAGGGTGCGAGCCCGAAGATGGCCAATCCAATGGACAAAATCACCGTGGGCACTGGAGGGGGGGATCAACAATCATCATTCTTTAGAAATGAGAATTCAGCAACACCAGCAACAACAACAATATTACCACCAAGAACAAATAACAGGCGGAATCCGCCGTGCAGAACGCCGCTGCTGCCACGCACCCAGGGACAATGAAGAA